CCGAACTTCCACGAGATTTTGGACGGTAATTTTCGCTGCTCCCAGCTCGTTTCGGCCTCTTCGGTTCCGACATTTTTGTTAGGGATGCCTGCAGAAAGCAAAATTTGGGGAAAAGAAAGAACAATTCGAAAGCACCAATCGCCTGAAACTGCTCTGAAATAACACCGTAAGGCAACCCTGAGACGAATTACTTGCGCACCAAAACGCAGTGGAAGTGCTGCCTCTCGCGGAAGGTATCCGCTCAGCCCCCGTTGGAAATCGGACTCTACTGCTTACGAAATTCCACTCTGCGTGCAGCTCTGCGAAATCAAGTTCGGTGCATATCCTTCAGACTTATAGCAACAAACTGCAGAATCTGGAAACCCAACAGTTAGAAATTAATCAGCTTACTAATCAAACCCACCAACGCCCAGCAATAGCCGCAAACACCCCTAATCCTCCCTCCCTTCTCTTTTCCCATCCCTCAACCATCCCCCTCCCAGCCAGGCCCACTCAGCGAACAGTATAGACCACCGGGCTCTGTGCAATTCATCTTCCCAACAAACAGAAGCAATTACCAAACTTCGTCTCATCTCGGCCGCTGTTATGAAAATAAAACAAAAATACACACGACACTACAGACGACAATTTGGGAAATACTTTGAGACTCTGTGTTGGTGATATAAATCCAGATTTCAACGATCTTGTGTCAAAAATTCAGGACCAGAGCTCACATTAACTTGCTGTTGTTTCTTCTTTACTGAACAAACAACCAGATAAAAACTTATCTGATTTTGTGCGCTCCTGCACCCTATGCAAATGCAACCCAAGCTGAAACGCACCAGACTTGGCGGTACGATCAAGTGTTTTTGCACTAAACTTCCAGATCGTTAATAGCAGGGATGGTCTCTGCGCTGTAGTTTAACACTTGGACTCATACTGGCTGTGTTTCGACCTTTTCTAGCATGCAGAGGGGAAGGGCGTCGGCTACGATGGAGTTGCTTTACAAGACAATATGGACTTCCAGCGCAAATGATTATCAGTTTTTCGCATGAAGCCTGGTTGTTTTCCCGACAAAATGCCCGTTCATTGAAAAAATGCAAATTTTAAGTAAATCGAAAAAGGATTACGAAATTTGCAAAATGTACTCGCTAATGAGTTTGCGAAAAAATTGAGTATTTTTCATACGTACTAGCAGGGAATTTCACCTTCAAACTCAGTTAAAACCACACATGAAAGTAGAATATTCCAGCGAAGTTTCAGCTACGTACCTTACCTGGTAAGCGAAATAGCCACTTCGCTACAAATATCTTTGAAGTGCCCTAAGTCGTGGCACAACTGCAAGTCGCAACTGAATTTAGGTATACGATTTCCCATACGGACGACAAATACTCTGACAAAATTCCAGCCACTGTTTTCCTGCTAGTTCTCGAGTTAGCGCAGTGCTAATTGCGAACTTTGACGTAACCGTACGCGCTGCACAAGCGTGCGCAGTGATTGAAATCTTTAGCTCACACAGGCACATAGAATATCCCTGCAAAGTCTCACCTTTCTGTCTTGTCTGATCCCCAAATCGTTTCCCGCCAAAGGAATTTGCATATTTATTTCCAGGGCTCGTACAGGAGATCTAGGCGCGTATGAGCGATGACTTTAAAACGGGAGGGTGACACACAGGGTAGGAATATGCCCCCAAAATTTCAGCCTCCCAGCTTTTCAGGTTCCCCAGTTAGCGATTCATGTGCTCATGTATGGGACCTAGACATAAGTGAAGATTGGTATCGCAGCCCTAGGGTGGCACTTGGCCGGGGAAGCCACCTACAAAATTTTAGCGCCGGAGCTTGCTTGGTTACTGTGTTCAAATACCCGGACAGGCACGCACACATACACAAACACACATACGTGCATAATGGGTCGTCATGATATGCGTCTTTGCATTCGGATATACGCAAAAACGCATAAAAAATAAAAGCAAGTAAAAGCTGCGCTTATGCGCGTGGAAATTATTTTTTAAAAACTAAGTCGCAGTACTGGGTTTCCCTATTTATGATGCTGCGCGGTAAAGCTGAAAGCTGTCAACTTCACTTATGCAGTTTTGCCTTATTCGCTCTCAGCTTTACCTAAGCACCAGCTTTATAAGTGGGGAAGTCCCCTACTGACGACGGATTTTTATGCGTTTTTGCCGTGCAGCGCTAGAGCGCTGCAACAGGCAGCAAAAACGCATATTG